GGTGAGGGTGGCTTCTGGGTAATACCAGATGGCTAGGCCTCAGACTGACGAAGCCTCTTGGATGAGGAGCGAAACGTTTCTTTTTAACAAAAAAACGAAGTCCAGATGACATGATTCAACCTTTTTTGTTGTTATATACCTGGATGACTGAGAAAACAAACTTTGTACTCAACATATTCCTTCTCAGCAGCTTGTCTTAAAGATATTCCAGAACATTCTGGTGGTTTGGAGAGAAACATCACGCTGTGAGACTGGAAGTCGACTTAAAGTGTCTAACAAACTACTAGCATGATGTAGTCCACATGTTTTCCGCCTTGTATTTGTACTATCCTTCACATATTTGAAAATGACAGGAAATCTGATAAAACTAGCCATTTTCATTGTCGGCAGTAATTTAAATAAAATTCAGTTTTATGTTAGTTTTGATCAAAGTCTGAAAGAGCCGCTGCAGAGGGACCAAAGAGCCACATGTGGCCCCAGAGCCGCATGTTGCAGACCCCTGGTCTAGTCTGTAGCAGTTGTAAAATGTTTGTTTAAAATCATCCTGTCTGTTACTGTGTGTGTGTGTTTCAGAAGGGGAGAGAGGCCCCCCACCAGGTCAGCGTGGACCCTTTCAGAGAGCCCTGTCCATGGACTCTAAGCCCATGGGGGAAGAAACGATGGTAAGAGGTGGACTGGCAGCAAGACGGAACGTTCCCCGTCCCCCACTGCTCAAACAAGAGAACATGGACGCTCCGCTCCGACCTGGAACTTTGCCCAATGGGTTTCCTGGAGGAATGGGTGTGTGTCCATCACGGAGCAATCCAACAAGTAATTCTAACTCCGCTTCACGTGCCCACCATCATCTGAGTACCACAACATACGCAGCATGCAAATATCAATACAAAGTGTCCATTGTTGATTAAACCCACAACCTCTGTGAAAATACAGATGTTTAGAGTGCTGCATGCTTGCTTATCAAACTGAAATGTTTTGTTCAGGAGGTGTAGGCAGAGGGGTTCAACAGCGCTCCCCCATGGCAGGCCCAGGGGAATGGGGCATGTCCAGGTCTGGCAGCAGCCCGGTATCAGGACCTGGACATTCAGGCATAGGTCAACCCGGCCAGATGGGAGCACCCATGATGAGCCGCTCCAACAGTGCACCTGGAGCCACCAGGTCCATGCTGCAGCAGCAACTCATGGACATGGGTACGTCATGTTATAATTGTTTTTTATTTAAATAATTAAATTGATCATTTAATAGAGCGAGATAACGATCTGAGATGTGAGTGTTGTTTTTTTTTAAGTATAGTTTAATCGGTTTATACGATATTAGTGTGAGCAGATGAAACTGGCACTTATTGGTAATTATGTCACATTTTCTAATAAACCAGTTTCTGTTCGGTGTCCACCATAAATTATAATAAAACTATTTTCTGTTTATAACTGGCAGAACTTTCTAATTGTATGTGACCCACTGCTTCCTCTAAAGGTCCTAATGAAGCGAATATGGGCATGAGTCCGTTTGGTGGACACGGACCCCCACCTCAGTCCCCCTCCTGGCCTGACTCTGCCATGGGGGTGGACAGACCACAGAGTAATACAAGCAGGTGAGCATTATGCAGTTCATCGTTCTTCATCCTGCTCCTCCGATGCGTCACAGTTTATGACTGCAGCCATCTTTGACAGATGTAACTTAATACTTTGTGTCACTGGTTGGGTTAGGGACCAGTTTGTGCATCCTCTGGGGGAACCACTGGGGCCCCTGGCCAGTAGTGACAATCCAAGTGATGAGCGGGCCCTTCTGGACCAGCTGAACTCTCTGCTCAACACCACTGATGTCGTGGCTCTACAGGAAATTGACCGAGCCCTTGGCATCCCTGAGATAGTGGGGCAGGTAGGAGAAGTGTCAGTGGTTCTCGTGCAGCACGTTTCTGTTCATGCTGTTGTTGTGCTTGAGTTTGTTTACATCATCGGTTTTTGTTAACCAGGCACAAGGACCTGAAGGCCACCAGCAGGTCCAGGATCAGAGTCCAGGTCTGTGTCCACCATCAGAGCCCTTCCCTGGGCTCGACTCCTCCGTGAACATGAACCAAAAACCCATGTATGGCCAGGGCTACCCGGGGCCACCGGGGCCCCCGTCTATGGCGGTGCAGCCTGGTTATGGTGGTAGCACAATGCAGAGCCAGTCTCCTGGAGGCTTCAACCCTATGATGAATCAGATGGGCCAGACAAGGGGCTTCTCTGCCATGGGGGGCATGAGCAACCCCCGTGCAAACATGCCAAGACTTCGTATGATGAATCCCACCCAGCAGCTTCGTCTGCAGCTCCAGCAGAGGCTGCAGGGGCCGCAGGTGATCACACACAGCTACCCTCAGAATACATATTTAAATGTCACGTCTCGTTGTTCCTGTTTGTTTTAAACACCATAAATCCAACCGGCTCACTGAGCTGTGCTTCGTTACTCCTCTAGCAGTTTATGAATCAGTCACGCCAAGGCATAAAGATGGAAAATACCCCCGGAGAAAACCCCAGCATACGTCCAGGCATGCAGCCTGCAGCAATGAGTGGTCAGGTACGTCTCAGCATTGTACCCGAGTACTCTATTTAACTTTACGCTCTTCATGGTGGCAGCCAACAGCACAGCTTATTGACACGAAGCGTTGTGTCTGCAGTCTGGGTTCATGAACGCACAGATGATGGCTCAGCAGCAGCACACCATGCAGATGAGGAGGCAGAGGATGATGATGTTGATGCAACAGCAGCAGCAGCAGCAGCAGCAGCAAGGTCAGGCAGCAGCAGGAGGCTTCAGCCCTCCTCCTAATGTAATAGCACCTATGGACAGCCCTATGGGAGCTCCCCCCATGAGCCAGCCTGGACAGCAGGGCTTCAACTATGGAGGTAGCTATGGTGAGCGGACTGAGACAGTTGTCTGCATCGTTCCCTCCTTCTGCAGACGCTCAGTTTACTTTTGTATTTACAGGAATGAACCAGCAAGGGGACTCTTCCTTCATGTCTCCAGGAAGTAGTCCTCCCAGAAACATGATGCAGGGACGAATGAGTGGTCCTCCTCAGAATGCCATGATGCCGGGGATGCAGGGAACTCCTCAGGGAGGACACATGTACCCATCTGGAGACATGAAAGGCTGGCCACAGGGAGCCATGCCACGTAATAAGTGTGTATCAACACATTTCCAGCTGTTAGATGTTCTAGGGTTGTTTAAAAACCTGATGTTTCTAAATACAAATGTTTCTTGATGTTTCTGTCCAGCCCATATCCTCAGCAACAGTTCACACAGCAGAACAACCAGGGCCAGTTTGGATCCATGATGATGAACTCTTCGATGAGTGGACCTGGACCAGTCGGCAGTTCTGGTGCTGGTCAGCTGGGCCAGATGCAAGGCCAAATAGGCATGAACCCAATGGGAATGGGCAGAATGCCAATGGGACCTGATCAGGTACGGTAATACATTAAACATTTATCTTTACACGCCCTGGAGGGTTTCACTTTAAATCTACTTCTTCTGATTTTGCAGAAGTATTGCTGAGGGACTCGTGGCTGAAACAGAACGGTGGAACAGTGGGCTGGACCATGATAGGAACTAAACACACACAAACAATAAAAAAAAGTGATAAAGAAAACTCAGCACAATGACTCGGCTGCAAAAGAAGCCAGCCACAAGGACTTGACTCGTGCTCGGTTTCACTTCAAGTGCAAACAAAGAAAAGTCCAGTGTGTGTTTAGCGGTCTAACTTGAAGCTGTTGGGCAGTATTCAGCATCCCAGCCAGCCTGCAGACAGGACGATGGTACATCTGGCTGTGGCTGCACTTTACCAGGAAGCTTCTTTGGGGGGAAGAGAGATAAAATGATTGATGCAATATTTTTTTATCATTACAGCCTTACTAGAGATTCAATGCCTTTGCAAGAATTGGTTTATTCTTTTCTTTGACTTCTCCTTTGAATGCTCTTATCTGTTTTGTCATAGAAAGCTATAAGCACACGGTTTACTGTAATGTTCTGCAGAGTGGAGCAATAACTCTTGATGCTTTCCACTGTGAGCATCATAGACCCTGTTTTTCAACAAAGGTACTGCAGTATTAGATGTCTCAAATGTCTTCTGTAATTATGAATTGTAAATATTCAACTAAATATAACAACCATGCTTTTTAAAGGCCAATTCTTGCACAAAATATGAGACCCGGTTGTGTTTTTGTTTCTCGTAGGTCAAAGCTGATTTGAATGATTTGCCTGTTTTATTTTTTACTTTTGCAAATATTTTAGGCACATTTGTGGTTTTATGTTCTTGTCATTTTCTAAACCATTTCCCCACAAAAGCTATGTACATGTATTTTATCTTTTACCAAGGCACTTTTTATCAGAGTATCTGATGCGTTGAACCTCTGATACTGTTTATAGGAAGGCGGTTAAAGACGACATGAACTAGTTAAACAGATGATTTCTGTGTGGGTTTTGTTTGCAGGTTTTTATTTTTTCTTCAGTTTTTGTTTCTCCACCTTTTCGCAGCAGCTCCTTCAGCTCAGTTTGGTTCACACGTGTTCTTTTGACTGTTATCAACTCGCTGGATCTACCTGTTCAACGTGCGCAATCCAAAGATATTTTTCCACATCTGTGTATAGTTTGAGGTTTCTGGTGTACATTTTTTATAAGGTGTGTATGTTTTATTCAAATGGTAAATGGGTACATATCATGGCTGTGTCTAAGCGTAGGATGGTTCTGAATGTGGAAGACGTTGCTCGCCTGTCGGAGGTCGAACCGTGCAGACTGAAGACCTGAACGTCTGAATCCCTGCAGTGAGGTTTTAAATTCAGGAGTAAAAAAAAAACTTTCATTATGAAATACCAACAGAATGAAGTCCACTTTGAAACATATCAACAATTCATCTATTTTTCAGGAAGCAACATCAGTTTATGATCAGATTTTGTTACTTCAGGAAAAAGGAACCTGTAGAGTTGAATGAAATACAAAAGATGTTTAGTTTTTTTGTTTGTTTGGAGGATTTAAGATGTGGTTTTACAGGATGTATATTACAGATGTTTTTCTGTTGATATTCGTGTAAATACAAGTTTATATTTAAACACTCTGGCTCTGTTGACTCTGATGACTCTCATTCCACTTCGGGATTTCTCTGCACTTGTTGCTGCACGAGCAGATACCAGCGAGTGTTCCAGGTGTTCTCGACGATTCGTCAGATCTAATGAGGAAATGCTGCGTTCACACTTTCACATGGGGAAAGTTCTGCTGGGATTTAGCCACATTATTGTCTCTCTTGAAAACTGCTCTTGAGGTCTCTCTTGAAAATGAGTTCTCGTGGCTCAATGAGACTACCTGTATAAATAAAGGCTAAATAAATAAATAAAATAAAAATTGTTACTTTAAAAATAACGATCACTATTGCTAACTTTACAGTTATTAAAAGAATGCATCAGAAAGGGGCTGTGATAGCTCGGTGCTGCGGTCTAGTAATCCTAAGGCTGCAGGTTCGAATCCAGGTTGTGTCCTGCATGAAAGAATCGACAAATCTTTCGTGTTTGGTTGGCGTGGCGACCCTGAGGAAGGGAGCAGCCTAAAGAAAAAGAAAAATTCATCCAAAATGTTCCCGTTGAGGCAGCAGGCGAATGGAGCCACTTGTTGCTGTTTGACCTAACCTTGTAAATGACACGATGCCCAATCAGGCTAAATCTCTCCAGATGTTTTTGTGCTCAGTGTATTTTTTGTGAATGACTTTCAGCTACTACCACACCAACTTGTAGCTCAATGTTTGTACATTTAACTGACATCGCAATTGGTGTGTTTGTTAGGGTTGATCAGCTGTGGAGAACATCTGGGTTGGGTTTATTTCCAAACTAAATCAGTTGCAGGTGGACATCTAATGGCTGACTGTTTCATTAAAATTCAATCTGTAGTTCATGAAATATTTTGTTAACAGAAGGTATTACCTGTTGAAGGCAAACAAGGCTGACTTCCAGCAGGTTTTAGGCAAAGGTGTAGCACTTAACGTATGTTTTGAAGACGACTTTCAGCTACTTTCACCTCATTTTAGCTTAACATTGTAAAACTGACAAGACATGGAGACATTTTTGTGTTTACAAATATTGATTAGCTCTATCAGCTCTCTTGAAATTATTTCAAAAGCTACTTAGTTATAAACACCAAATGGGGATCTTTAGACTGTTTCATTGAAACTCAAATGGTTCGTGAGATATTTTGCTAACAAATGGTGCTGAATAACCACTAAAGTTTCTCACGAAGATGTTGGGCAGTGTGCATCCCTCAGTGTGTGTTGTGAATGACTCCCAGCTGCTAACATTAATTTTTACCTCATTATCTGTAATATTAACTGAGTTGAACATTATTTCAACATCTGTGGCGGCCATTTTTAATTTGATTGTCTCCAAAAAGTAACCAGCTAAAGAAATACAGCTGTTGATTACTTTCTGAAGGTCTGTTTTTAACAATATTAGTACAGTGTGAGCTGTCTTAATTATGTGAACCTCTTTTCCTTTTTAATCAGTTTGTTGCAACATTTAAAGCAACGTTTAATTTCCGTGAACTTTACTTCTGCAGCATTTTAAACAAAAATATATTGTATAGCCAGGATAAAATAAACAAACTGGTGTCAAGCATATCTTAAGATCTCTTAGATACATTACTTAATCATCAAATGATTTGATTTAGGAAAAAAGTCAATCAAAAGCAGCTTTCTTTGATTTGCTTCACTAAATGACCAGAAGAGGGCGCCCTTGTCCTCAAATCAACCTTTTCTATAGAAAAGGCTGCAAGTCATCTTCCTACCGCAAGAGGGCGCAAAATGCACGAACAAATATTTTAAAGGGGAAGAAAAAAATGTTTATTTTTGTAGATTTGAGGATTGAAATAAACATAAATAACTTTAAATTAATAACTTAATCTGAAACAGAGCCCTAATTTGATTTATCTGTAATATAATTTAAAGCGTAGAGCTACTTTAGAAGCCACAAAAGTGAGCATTTTCATTTTCGTCACGTTTTAATATTAGATATATGAAGGATATTTACATGTGCCACAAAGATAATGAGCCCGTTTTAAACAGCGTGGACAGAGGAAATAACACAGATGATTAAACATCGTGATGAAAGCCATCAGGGAGTGTGTGTTGAAGTCCGGCTGAAGGCTGACAGCTCGCGCGCTCAAGCCTTGTTTGTTTTAGTGGATGTATTAATAGGTAATTTACTGCATGCAGGCGTACTGTGGGAATCTCTACCCGAGAGCAACTCTGTCTTGTGTTTTTCTGGCCCGGTTCCCGGCCCATCTGCGGCCTGGCCCGTGGATTACTGTTTGTTAATGTTTCAATCAGCTGTGTGTTGAGGAATGTGGAGCTATTTAACCTGAACTTCCCCAGGTGTGCCGAGGCGCCGCTCAGTCTGGGCCCCTCCGCCCTCCCCTGCCCTTGGCACAAAGCTATCACACAAACACACACACATATACACACACACACACACACACAGGCCACGCCGGGCTGCAGCTGTGCGCATCACACCGCAGGGAAATGGGAAAAACATTGCACCAGGGAGACAGAATAAATCTTAAACCATTCGCCTGGCCAGAATTCATTTAACCCCCGCAGTGCTGATTTACACCACAACACACTGGAACACCAGATTAGTGGACATGTGAAATAAATATTGCATTTATTTCCTCATAAATGTCTAATTTTGTTAGACTTTTGATTTTATTTTGAAGTTTATACAAAATTCTACCAGTTTGTCTCAATCTTGCTGATTTTGAGTGAATTCTTCCTGTAACGTGATCATTTATGACCCAGAGGCAAATGATCCATTTGGACAGGAGTGATTCCCACCAGCTGTGGTTTGATGTTACCTGAAATGACTCGACAGCTCCTGGTGTCAGAACAGTTTTGTGTTGAAACGCAGTGGGGCCAAGTTAAAGTGATCTTGCTGTGCAATCAATTTTTAATAACAGACACAAAAGCAGATGAATTCTTGTTCAAAAATAGTGTTCTTGTTTTAATAAAAACACAAATAAAGTACATTGTAAGAAAACAATATCTTCACATATCTATGGCATTGTAATATACAATACAGTTTTGTCGCTCAGGAATCTGAGAAATTATTATTACTTTTACAAAATTGTTGGAATTTCTTTACATGATTTTTTACACGTAATATAAAAGTGTAACAGACATGAAGTTGCTTTTAAAAATAATAAAAAAAACTATGAGCAGCACGCTGGCTGCTCCGAGCTCGTCTTGGTCCTCCGACTGACCCGGTCTACATCTGGACACCGCGGGCTGGTCCGTGTCCACGGAGGAATCGAGAGCCGTGGATGAGTAACCCCCTTTGGGTCTGAGGGTGTCCACTTCTAATAATTTTGTGGGGAGGGGGATGAAACGTCCCTACAGTTCAAGGCTCTGGGCTTCGATGTGGTCCAGAACAAGAGTCACATCGAGCCGCCTTGTTCGTTCTTCACGGGCGCACGCTGATGATGATGATGATGATGCTTCATGGAGGCTTTAGCGGCACATTATCCTGTCGTCTGAGCATCCGTTCTGCTGAGGGAGGGGGGAGAGAGAGAGAAGGAAGACAAAATGATCAGTACATGCTGGCCAAGACATACAGAACCAAACATCCGTCACTGGAGCGAAAATGCGCTTTTACGCACGAACTTGGCAACTTTACGCACGCGTATTAAACAGCAGGTGTAAGTAATACACGGGTGTAATTTGCTGTAGAGAACACTCGAGATCCATTTACGCTACATGCAAGCAGATATTCACCTCCACTGAGATGCTGCCGAGTTCAGAGTTCAGTGTGGTGAGCGGAGTGCGCGGCGCGCCGCTCGCTGAGTGCTGACGGCTCTTCTCCGGCTCGTCCAGCTCGACCTGCAGGTCCCAGATGTAGTCGATCACGTGCTGGAGGATCTCCACCTTGCTGGCCTTTTTGTTCGTGGGCAGGGTGGGCACGAGCTCCTTCAGCTTGCTGTAGCAGCTGTTCATGTCCTGAAGAAAGACGCTCATCTGCTCGTCCAACAGCGGGATCTTGCACTTGGAGATGCTCAGGCTCTGCTCGGACAGACCGATCTCTCCACCGACCTTACTCTTCAGGGCGCAGGTAGATCCGACAACTTTCATCTTATCTGTTTGGTACAGAAACGCAGCTTTCACGCAGGCTTGGAGTAAATCAGCTTTGTCCTCTCAAGAGATGTTAGCAGGTCAGTGTTGACAGTCCGCAACGTCCACATGGAGCGTCCTCCTCCCGCTTTATAGGAAGGAGAAGCGGTCGGGGGCGTGTCCAAGCGCTCCAGTTTGAAGAAATACAGCCAATCAGAGCGCAATCTTTATGTTAATGAGGCGGTCCGTGGCGGACCCCTCAGCCAATGAGGGCGCTCGGCTGGTTATCGGAATTTACAATCTGTTGGAGGGATGGCGTTACAAATGGAAACAAATGTGTGTCTTTTATGGCTAATATGTGGGAATCCAGCTGTCCACGGCTTGGGGACTCTGCAGGTGTAGATGTCCTGGGGACAGTCAATGGGTGGCTGAACGCTCGGCTGTTTACTGAGGATGTGTGTGGGATGGGACCGGCTGAATGGGATGAATGCTTAATAACAATTAGGCTGCCACAGTGCCCCAGATTGGCCTTTCACAAAGGTTCATGGTGGTTCATGGTGCTGCAGATGTGGCGGACAATGCTACAGTACGTTAGGGAATTAATGAAGGGGGGATTAGTTCAAGTTGACGACTTTAGTTTGGAAAAAATTGTTTGAATTAATTTTACCTGATCATTAAAGGTAATTGTGATGTCTGGTCAAATTAAAAAGACAAAGTAAAACATTTATGTTTTTCTCATATTGATGGTTAATGTGTCCTTAAATCAAATAATTTATTATAAAAACTTGTTCATGAATATCAAAACCAGTTGTTTGTCCACCTTCGATGACGGGCAAAGTGACTGAAAACGGGTTGAAACTAAACTCAAGATCAATTTAATCCCTAATATTTATTTTTGACAGCTGCCACTCATTCTTAGTCTCTAACAGCAGATTCACTTGATATTTTCTACCTGAACGTCTTCGCTGAGCTTCAGCACTTGTCACATTCAGTCGTATTTGCCAAACTAACGTAGGTCAACAGTGACTCTCAAGCTGTCTGTGGTTCTCAGTCATTCAGCTTTGTTTACATTGGCTGCGTACCCACATTTCATAATTGCATATCAATATATCTGGAAAACTACTGGAGTAAAATCTCTCAAACGGCAGTTCAGGGCAACTTTTTTTGTGTGTTTTATTTTATAGATTTCAATGAGTGCCTTTAAAATATGTTTGAATTGGAAACATCTCTGGATAAAAACCTGGAGAGTTTTAAAACTCAATGCTCTCTTTATCCTCATAAAATCCACTTTTGAAAAAAAAAAAAGTCACACGTCTCTTTTTACAAGCTGAGGGAAAGTGAATGTGAGCATTCCTTCACATGTTTCTGCACACTCAGATCGCATCGCTGTGTTCCTCCTCCTCCGCCTCCTCCTCCTCAGTCCTCCTCCCAGATTGTCCAAACAAGCCTGAGCAGACTGGCAGGCGCCAGCGCGGTGACGTCACCCATTCATCGGAGCCTTGACGCCTGTCAGCCTGGCGCCGCTCGGGCGGTCTCCATGGAGATGTCAAACAAGAGAGCTCGCACTCCTCCATTCACCTGGAGGAGGAGCGGAGCCCTGAGAACTCTGGAGCTGGGTGGCTTTTTTTTTCTTCTGTTCTCCTTCATTTATCACCTTAAAGCAGCGGGATGAGATTACCGCCCCGCGCGCACCTGCAGAGCAAAGCGCTGTCAGCCGGTGAAGAGGAGGAAGACTCCTCATTATGTTGTTACCGCAGTCTAACGCAGAAGAACCGCAGCATTCCTCCACTTTCACTAACACATGGTGCTCCCAGACAAGCTGCAAGGGTCAGAATAATCTGCTAAATATTTTACAACACATGAACGTGTCATTAAGCAGATTAAAGAGGGATTCTCTAGTTAATGCCTCTGATGATGACGCAATGTTTTTGCCTGTGTGTGTGTGCGCTCATTTGTCTGTCTTTTAGCAAAATATCTCATAAACCAGTGGACGGATTTTAATGGAACGCTCAGAATATAATCAGTCAGTGTTCATCTACAACTTAGAGTCATCTTGTTTCAAGATGGCCGCCACAGCTAACATAAACATCTAAAACTGTTGGTTTTACAGAGACTGAGCTGAAACTTGATAAAGTTGTAGCTGAGAGTCATCCTTGACACCGACTCTGAACGCGATAGCTTAAAACTTTGGCATTAACTGTTAGTCATCTTTGTTTGTCTGTTAGCAAAATATCTAATAAACTGCTGGGCAGATTGTAAAGAAACTTTCAGAAAGTAATCATTTGATAGACGACTACAACTGATTAATTTTCAAAGATATTCATTCAACCTTTATTTATACAGGTTAGTGTCATTGAGCCACGAGGACTCATTTACAACCTGTTTTAAACAAAGAACACAGATGAGGTATAGACAACAATATACAATCATAAAAAAACATATTAAATGAAAAGTAAATAGAAAAAATTACATATAAAAAATGAAACAAAAAGCAGCTTCATTATCAAAAGACGTAAAGTACTACAAATATTTCAATTTAAGATGACCACATAGCCACTTAACTTTAAAAACCACACACAAACAGATATAACAATCGGTTTTACAGATATTAAACTAAACTTTGGTCTAGCAGTAGTTTAGAGTCTGCTCCAACACATATTTTGAACGTTATACATTATGTGTCACTTTTGCCTAAAACTCTGACATTAACTGTTTGTGCTATGTTTGACTGTTAGCAAAATAACTCAAGAACCACAAAAAAATAATCATTTGATGCTCAGCTACAGCTCATTAAGTTGTGGAGTGGTAACCACATCAAATCAGCACTGTCCAGCACAAAAATGAACATAAATTTAAATTTGATGTGGTAACTGACAGTCATCCTCATCACATAATCTGAGCGCTAACAGATTACAAAATCAGGTGAGATTATGCATGCAATGGTTTTTATGGTTTGACCAAATGTCAAAATATTTCTCATCATAAGATGATGTCGGTTTAAAACCCGGGCAGGAAATACAGCGGGCGACATTCACCTTCAAGAGATCACTGGCCTTGTCATTTTCTTCAGCATTTCCCCATTTTAATAATTTGTTTTAGAAACGTATTGCATGTTATTTGTATTAAGTTGTATATATTTTCTAAAAATGTTACTTCAGAAAGGAAACTATTGTCACTTCAGTTAATGTTTAGCTGGATATATTGTGAAGTGGGGTTCTGTGGATAGAGTTTGAACCATTATTATCTTACCTGTTGTAGATGACCTCAGTTTGGAGAATACGTTTCTGACAGGACTGATGTGCTAACATAATGTAGCTTGTTTTATTTTGTTTTATATCACTACTTTTACTGACTTTTCATTTTATATTGGGGAGTGGTGGCGCAGAGGTTAGAAGATGGGCTTGTGATCAGAAAGTCGCAGGTTCAACTCCCGGTACCGTCAATATAAAAAAATGTGGGTGGAAAAGGTGGAACACCCACACCTTCATTCGCCCCACTCTGGGCCCCTGAGCAAGGCCCTTAACCTCCACCATCTGCTCCCTAAAGCAGGTCTCTCTTGAAAATGAGTTCTCGTGGCTCAATGAGACTACCTGTATAATTAAAGGGTAATTAAAAAATAATAATCATTTAAGACTGTTGTGTCTGTTTATTGTATGTGAAAAACAACTCCAATTGTTTACAGCATTTTCTCAGACTTTTACATTGTTGTCAGTTTAGCATTAAAATGGTTTTAAATAGGATTTTGTGGTCATTTGCAAAAGTAAATATTCCAGCAGCAGTTAGCTGTAGCACATCCTGTGAGCCGAGTGGTCAATTCTGTTGAAACTATCATAATAATTCTAGCAAAATAACGGTGTGATGCAAAATCAAGTAAATGTTTTTTTAAATAGTGTTTGCATGAATATTTGGAAAGTTTGACAGTTTGGAGTTGTTTTAAGATGGTGGCAATCCACTTTAAACAGAGCTGCGTTACATCAACTCGTTTATCTTAAAACTGAGTTAATGTCAACAAGTACGACAGAGTATTAGGATCAGGCTGAGGAAAAAAAGACATTATAAGAAAAAAGTCATGAAATTACAAGAATAAATTCATAGTATTACGAGAATAAATTCGTATGACAATAAAGTCATAATAATATGAGAATAAAGTCATATGACAACCAAGTCATACATTATATTACGAGAATAAAGTCGTACCAGAATAAAGTTGAACTGTTATGAGAATAAAGTAATACAACAATAAAGTCATACATAATATTATGAGAATAAAGTCATACGACAATAAAGTCATACAACAATAAAGTCTTACATAGAAAAAAGTTGTACGAGAATAAAGTCAAAATATGAGAATAAAGTAATACGACTATAAAGTCATACATAATATTATGAGTATAAAGTGGTACGAGAATAAAGGCAAAATATTTTGTGAATAAAGTCGTACGACAATAAAGTCATAATATTACAAGAATAAAGTCGTAATATTATGAGAATAAAGTCAAAATATTACGAGAATCAAGTCATTATATTACAAGAATAAAGTCGTAAATTACGAGAATAAAGTTGTACGAGAATAAAATGAAAATATTACGAGAATGAAATCAAACTATTATGAGAATAAAGTCATAGTATAATGAGAATATTGTCAAAATATTATGAAAATAAAGTTGTAGTTTTAGGAGAATAAAGTCGCACAACAATAACGTCAAAATATTACGAGAATAAAGTCGTAAAATTACGAGAATCAAGTCATAATATTTTGAGAATAAAGTCATAATATTACGAGAATAAAGTTGTAGGAGGATAAAGTCAAAATATTATGAGAATAAAGTTGTAATATTATGAGAATAAAGTTGTAGTATTATGAGAATAAAGTTGTAGTTTTATGAGGATAATGTCGTAGGACAATAAAGTCATACATAATATTATGAGAATAAAGTTGTAAGATAATAAAGTCAAACTTTTATGAGAATAAAGTAATAATATTACGAGGAAAAAGTTGTATGAGATTAAAGTCAAAATATTATAAGAATAGAGTCATACAACAATAAAGTCATACATAATATGAGAAAAAAATTATACGAGAATAAAGTCAAAATATTATGAGAATAAAGTCATACGACTAT